AGAAGCAAAACAAACCATGGGAGCTGGCTGGTCAAACAGAGGCGCACATCGTGTGATGCGAAGTCATAGTCACACAGCGTGCATCTGCAGCAGCGAAGTGCGGATCATTTGCACGCGAGGAGATTCTCCACCTGCTCAAGCATACATTCAACCAGGTTGAGCCTTCAGAAGACACACGAGCCTACTTCCCTCTTCACACAAGAATCGCAGAATGGTGGCGTAAAGCCGAGGGCGGCTGTTCATCTGGGTGCGCTGCCTCCCATAGAGTCAAGCATATCCTTGAACTGTGAATCAAGTCAACGGCGTCATGAGTAAGCATGCGCGCTCTTCCACCATCGCTGCCCAGAACAACAAGGCTGGACCAAACGTACCTGTTCTCTAATCGCCTGTTCCTTCTTCGCATTCTCTTCCGCCTGCAACTTCAAGATGCCCCTCTTCTCCTCTGCGCTAATGACCTGATTCTCCTTTCTCATCCTGACCGCGTTCATGCGCTTATGTCGACTTCCGCTCATGACGAATCCAGCATTCTCAAACTTTTCGATCTGATCGCTTTCCAAACCAATTTCTCCTCTTCTAGGAATACGCTTGCCCTCGGCTGCGTACGCCGCCATGGCCGTCCCTTCGCCTGGCAATAGAGCTCGTCCATACTCTTTGCCCATGCCTTTGGAGCTAGAAGCTTGCGCTAGCGCTTCTTCCTCCACCGCTGCGCTGGATTGAGGCAGAGCAGGTCCAATGCGTGGTTGCACTCGTCGCCCCCCTGCCGCAGCTGGAGAAGCGTCTCCTTCAAGTGTGACGCGAGCCAGCGCTTTTCCATCCGTCTCCACAGCGCTGGCTGATCCGCTCGACGCCGCTCTCTTCTCCTCCAGCCTTGTTTCGGAGACGGAACGCTCGGACCGTTTACGCGCCTTCCTCTCACTTCGCTGTTCTTCGTCCTCACTGTCATCTCGGCGCCGATGACGATGCCTCCTCTCCTTTTCTTTTCGTCTTCTTTGCCTCTCTTCCTCCGAATCTGAGCTTTCATCTTCCGACGTGTCGTACCTTCTCTTTCTGCCAGAGCTCGATCGATGGTGCTTACGGCTGCTGGATCCGTGTTTATGATCCTTGTCACGGCTCGACTTGTGCTTTGAAGATTCGTGCTTGTCTCTTTTGCTTGCTTTTTCGCGCAATGGCGAGCGTGGAGAAGGAGGCCAAATAGACAATGTGCTCTTCTTTCGCTCTTCATTTCGACTGTTGTGAGTTGCGAGAGTGGCTCTCGTAAGCCGCTTGCCCTATGCTCTCAATGCACGTTTACCGACTCACCTTTCGAAATACCCTTTGTCGCTCACGGGCGGACCGCCTTGACCCCTCCTACCCCAGGCACCTGGAGGAGGCGCTCCCTCTCTAGGTGGCGCCAAGTCTTGCGAATAAGCTTCAGGTCTACCATCAAAGCGAGGCGGTGGAGCTCCATTCCAGCCGTGATGAGACGGATGCGGAGCAAAGCCGGGAGGAGGAGGACGTTCGTAGTATCCCGGAGGAGGGCCAAAGCCTGGGGGAGGTCCGAACCCTGGAGGTGGAAGATGCCCGGACCTCTGACCATATCGATGGCCCTCATCAGCATGAGGTGCGGCGGCCCAGCCTGAAGAATCTTCGCGCGGAGGTGGAACGCGCGGATCCATCCCTTGCGGTAGCGGTTCGTCGTATCGACGCCCATAAGACCTTTGCTCCTCTCCTTCTCCATACGAGGGCATTGCTCTCTCGCCTCGTGACCAGACGCGCCGATCGTCCGACTCCTCGCGTCGATGCCTCTCCTCTCGAGCTCCACCTCCACGCTCTCTCGAGGACGCTCTCTGTCGCCCATCGTCAGGGTTGCGCATGCCGGAATGCCCATTCACACCAACATCTCGACCTCGAGATCGATCAGCAAGTCGATTCCTCAGCTCTGTCTCGCGAGACACTTGAGCATCGGTAGGCGCGCTGCTGGAAGCGATTCCAGTGCTCATGATCCGAGATTCCGTCGCAAGAATGTGGGCGTGTACCTTGTGAGAGATGACAGATGAAGGGGCGATTGCAAGACTATGGATTGATGGTGGCGAAGTGAAGCGCAGTCGGTCGGAGGGCACGAGTCGCAATGGCTGGCTGGCTTTGCATGCATGGATGGCTGAGCGCGCCGAAAATTCAGGCGGTGCCAAACCTTTTACGCGTCCCACTAAAGTGCTACCGTACACCACCGTACACGCTTCTGGCGATGTCATGCGCCTGCAAGAAGCCCAAATGGTGCTTGAGTCAAATTTCTTGGCTTCCACCTTGCATCTCACCATCCATCCCAATCTTCGCACTTCTCTTTGCGCGGACCTCTGAAAGGCATCACCGAGTCTCATAGCAGCTACCAAATTTGCGGCTTGAAGAGCAGCTTCCCGCCTTCATCGTCGCGAGGCAGGCTGATACTTGAGGCCTTGCATTCACACGATAACGTCCACAGCGCCTTCCTGCAAGTCGAACAGCCCTGGCCTCCTGAAGAACGCAGCATAGCAAGTCAGGTATCATCTGCACGAGCAAGCCAAGGGCTAGAAGCGTGAAAGTGCAGTCGCGGGTCTGCATACAGCATCAGTGGGATTCCAATCCCACGTGCCCATCGTCATTTTTCGACCAGCCGATTCGCTCTGAGCGTCCCCATCCACCCCAGCATACACTCATCTCTAACCTCGTCTTTGCGCACGAGCAACTCTTTCAAAGATGGGTAGTCGGCAACAGAGGGTGATGGTGCAACCCATCAATGTCATTTTCAAGTTCCTCCAACAAAAGACGCGCGTTTCGATTTGGCTGTACGATAATTTGGACTTCAAGTTGGAAGGGGTCATTATCGTGAGTAGTTTAGACGTAGGTCTTTCGATGCACGGGCGCTCATGTGTCTGTTGCTCGTGAGTAGCCGCATTCGACTTGATTGAACTACTCTCATCTTCGATCCTCCATCCTCCATCCATCATCAGGGCTTCGACGAGTTTATGAACGTGACATTGGCAGAGGCGGAAGAGGTGCACATCAGGAAAGAAAAGGCGGGTCAAAGAGCCGAATTAGGTGAGATACAAGACTCGACAAAAGCGCCTCCTGGTTCGTGGGTGGAGGGGGATCTGGGATGCAAGGGGAGAGACACAAAGACTCACGCGGTCACGTCTGGCCAAATATGTTGGTAGATGTTTGGGAAAAGACGAGAGGTGCATGGGGCGACGGCGCACAGCGGCCAGAGCTGGGTCGGGCTCGGAGGCACGACGACTGTGCGAGCAGTCGACTGGCCGGTCCAGTACCTTCACTTACCGTCTTGCTTTCTCGACTGACGGCATCTCCCCGCGACCTCGAATCAGGGAGAATCTTGCTCAAGGGGGACAATATAAGCGTCTTGACGGTGGCTCAATAGCCGAATATCTCCTGTGCAAACCGCGCCACTGAGAGATGAGGATGTCGGTCTGTCATGAGAGGAGGGAAGCTTTGGACAAGCTGCACGGTGATGATAACGACTCGGCTCGGCTGGATCAGGCCAAGTGTGCGAGGTGAAATGCGACTGTACTCTCTAGCGTTCCACACGTTGAAGATGCGCCCACAAATTGAATGGCATATCCAGCATACCTGCCATTCTCCCGTGTTGGGCATTCGCAGAAAAGATTGGACGTAAGAAAAGAAGATGAAGCGCCGAGCTGCACGAAGGTGAGGCAGGCGGCTTGGTCAGCTTGTGAAAGACGCATGCTTGGCGCAGAAAAGGGTGCGAAATTGAACTCTGCATCTCGCCAAGCTCACGTTTGGGAGGGTCAGGTTGAGCGCTTCAATCTTTTACCATGCACTTGATCCTTTGGTCATCGATGAATCGCCTTGCAACATGCAACGGTCACTCGTCCAAGCTTCAAGCTTAGTCACGGGTTCGGTGATTGCGAGGCGAGGGAGGATGCAACGCTTGTACAACATTTGCCACCCCTTTTGCACAGCAGCCGTCGCTTCTTGTCCTGCAAGTTGAGGCAGAGGCATTTGTGATACAACTCATGCGCCAGCGCATTGCAAGGTCAAGATAGCTCCATCGGCGGACGTGGATTTTGCCCTTTTGCCCCATGTCTACCAGTCCGTAGTCCACATCTTGATTCAGTCTTGACTCACACTCACGACTGTGACTGCTGGCGATGATCGATTCGTCACAAGTCGCGATAAGCGCATGGTACATTCACAGCAACTACCCGCCCGCGGAAAATTCGTGTCAAGAGCCGAGTCTTGGACGTTGTGAGTCTGGAGTCAAGAGTCAGAGTCAAGGGTGGGGGACTTGGTGACTTGATGTCGATTTCGTTCGATATGTTGCCGGCCCATCGTAATCGGCCGAACAAAGCCGACTGTGTGAGAGGTTATTCGTCGCCCGCCCGCCCGCGCACGGTGCGCTGCTGCTGCTGCTGCTGCTGCGTCGCGTCTGCGTGCTGCTTGCATAGCTCCCCATCCGACGCGCGTTCAATCGAATCGGTCGTGTACCGGTACCGGTATATATGCTACAGCTGCTTCAAGAGAGTCACGAGTCATTCACACTTATCCACAGGCGACCCATCTTGCCTCTCGATCTTCAACTTGCACACTCGCCACCACTGTCCCTCAATTGCCTCTACCATCAAGGCCCAAGAGCGATATTCAAGAGAGACGATCAGCGCACGCGCAATCTCTAATCCGCACAGACCATAAGCTCCACAAAATTGCTGGACCAACTGGACCAAAATGTCTTCGAACAACCCTTCAGGATCCAATGTGCCTGCAGGTGGAGCTCAAGCGCAAGTTCAAACTCAAACTCAAGCTCAAGGTGATCAGGGTCAGAATAACGAGCTGCCTGGACATGGTGTGTTGGAGGAGGATGATGAGTTCGAAGAGTTTGAAGCTCACGGTGAGTCGCAAGGACGAGTCGGTGGAGATTGGAGCTGAAGGCGGATGGAATGGAAAATGGGCAAGGGGCAGCTAGCTAGCTAGCTAGCTAGCCAT